GATTCTGCATGTAAACAAATATCCTGCAAGTGAATATATTTAAAATTTAGTTCTGGTATTTTCTAATGTAACCAGTTGATGTTGTTTGGATGTGTCCCCACCCAAATCACATCTTTAGTTGTAGTTCCTGTAATCTCCATGTATCATGGGAGGGACTCTGTGAGAGGTAATTGAATCGGCGGGGGAGATGGAGGAGGGATGGTGGGTATTTCCCATGCCGATCCCATGATTGTGAATAAGTCTCATGAGATCTGATGGTTTTTAAAAGGGAAGTTCCCCTGCACCTGCTCTCTCTTTCCTGCCAACGTGTAAGATGTGACTTTTTTCCTCATTTGCTTTTAGCCATGGTTGTGAGGCCTCCCCAACCATGTGTAACTGTGAGGCAACAATTACCCAGTCTCAGATATGTCTTTATTAGCAGCGTGAAACTGAACTAATACATCAATGTTTGTGTTATTGAGTGACCAAGAATTGGAATACATATCAAAGAATCTGTAGCTCAGAATTCTTTGTATCTAACAATATGCTTCACATCCCACATCAGTGATATATGAACACTCTACATTTCCTTCTTTAATCATAAAAATAATGTATTACACTACCTGACTTCAAACTATACTACAAGGCTACAGCAACAAAAACAACATGGTAATGGTACCAAAACAGATCTACAGACCAATGGAACAGAACAGAGGCCTCAGAGGTAATGCCACATACCTACAAACATCTGATCTTTCACAAACCTGATAAAAACAAGCAATGGGGAAAGGATTCCCTATTTAATAAATGGTGTTGGGAAAACCGGCTAGCCATATCCAGAAAGATGAAAGTGGATCCCTTCCTTACACCTTATACAAAAGTTAACTCCAGGTGGATTAAAGATATAAATGTAAGACCTAAAACCATAAAAACCCTAGAAGAAAACCTAGGCAATACCATTCAGGACATAGGCATGGCAAAGACTTCATGACTAAATACCAAAAGGAATGGCAACAAAAACCAAAATAGACAAATGAGACCTAACTAAACTAAAGAGCTTCTGCACAGCAAAAGAAACTCTCATAAGAGTGAACAGGCAACTTACAGAATGGGAGAAAATTTTGCAGTCTACCCATCTGACAGAGGACTAATATCCAGAATCCACAAAGAACTTAAATAAATTTACAGGAAATAAACAAACACTCTCATCAAAAAGTGCATGAAGGATATGAACAAACACTTCTTAAAAGGAGATATTTATGCAAACAACAAACATATGAAAAAAGGTTTATCATAACTGGTCATTAGGAAAATACAAATTAAAGCCACATTGAGATATCATCTCATGCTAGTTAATGGTGATCATTAAAAAGTCAGGAGACAACAGATGCTGGAAAGAAGGCGGAGAAATAGGAATGGTTTTACACTGTTCGTAGGAGTGAAAATTGGTTCACCACTGTGGAAGACAGTGTGGTGCTTCCTCTAGAGTCTAGAACTAGAAATACCATTTGATCCGGCAATCCTATTACTGTGTATACCCGAAGAATTATAAATTGTTCTAATAAAGAAACATTCACACATATGGACAGTTTATTGCAGCACTGTTCATAATAGCAAAGACTTGGAACAAACCCAAATGCCAATCAATGATAGACTGGAAAAAGAAAATGTGGCACATATATATACCATGCAATACTATGTAGCCATAAAAAATGAGTTAACGTCCTTTGCAGGGACATGAATGAAGCTGGAAACCAACATTCTCAGCAAACTAGCACAAGAACAGAAAACAAAACATTGCATGTCCTCACTCATAAGTGGGTGTTGAACAATGAGAACACAAGGACACAGGGAGGGGAACATCATGCACTGTCAGGGCGTGGGGGACTAGGGGAGGCATAGTATTAGGAGAAATACCTAATGTAGATGACGGGATGATGAATGTAGCCAACCACCATGGCACTTGTATTCCTAAGTAACTTGCATGATATGCACATGTACCACTGAACTTAAAGTGCAATAAAAACATAATGCCCCATAATAAAACCTAAAGGAATACTCTGATAATGCATTTATACATTTATATGTATGTATATATCAATATATGTACATCATGTAGAAAATTAAAAGTTAGCCAATTAAAGGATTTATTTGCCATGTTTAGAAGTTTGTGGAAAATAAGATTGTCTTTCATTCACTATCAATCAGCATGCCTTTGATTTTTTTCCAACACAAAAAGTGGAAACTGAATTAGGTAAGAACATTTATACATTGAGGGTTTGGAACTACATGTGTAAAGTTACTAACTTTATTAACAATGTTTGAGGGAATAATAAGGATGAAAAGATGAGTTGGTTCTACATAAAAAGAACCAGTGATATAACTAACTCTGCCTAGCCAGTTAAGTAAATTTAACCAAGTCTCTTATTGTCTTTGAATTCTATTTTCTGAAGTGTTAAATCGGTATTTCTTTCATTGCAAATGAAAGATTTACTGAGCATCTTTTCTAAGTAAAGTCCTTCAATGTGTTATAAAGATGAGTCAAAGATGGTCTCAGTATATTAGTGCCAAGTTGTTTATTTCTTTACAGCATGCTGAGACCTGTTCACTCAAAAGTTTGCTAGTGCCAAACTCTAAATTTTATAAATCTAATGTTTCTTGTGTTTTAATGGCTTCAGAAATGTTTTCCCAGCAAAGAAAAAACTATTCTTTTCTATATTAATTTTTATAAAGATGTAATCTCCTAGTCTATTTGGGCTGCTACAGCAAAATACCACAGAAAGGTTGGTTTATAAACAACAAATAAGCAGATGTTTAGCCTCTTTGTCCTCACAAAACTGTGCCCAATATCTACTAGCTGTGGAAAGCCATTTCTGCTATTTAGAGCCCTCTGAGGCAGGGACAATCTATCGTGCTACTGGGGAACATTATCGAGATATGTAGGTCCCCTCTCCAATACCCCTTTCCTCGGGGATTCACTGGCCCTTCTCTTCCAGATGTTCCCCAGCCTCAGGATTTGGGGAACATGCAAACCAAAAATCCTCCAATAAAGTTTATGTGTGCTGCTGCCACCACACGATTGTGGCTTTTTCTTTGTTCAGCTCTGAAATGACTCAGGACTCCGGCTACTAATAGAGCCTTTATTAATGTCACTAGAGTTGACCAGATTACCATTTTTAACTTTACTATTGAGGGATAGTTGACATAAAAAAGCTGTACATAGTTTGGAGATAAATGAAACCTGGGAAACCAATGCCACAATGCTGAACTGATAGAAGCTAACAGAATTGTGGATTCCAGAGGCTGGTGGTGGGATGAGGGGTGAGTAGCAGGGAGGTTTTGGTCAGAAGATGCAAAGTTTGAGTTATAGAAGATGAATGAAACATAATATTTAAGTTATCTTCAAACTAGACACATATTTTTTTTTCTTAAAGATAACATTCAGTGAGTGTTGGCTTTCTGATTATCACTGCAATATATACAGTCAGTCTATAAAGTTTAGAAATTCCAAAATATAAGCTTAAAAATACCTATTACTATATTATTCAGATTGAGGCACAGTGCTAGTCATGAGACACGTAAAATAACTACTGCTTTAAAAATCTCACTTTGACACATCTAGCAAATGCTTTTCCAATTACATGATGGTATTTCAGTCTGCCACAAACAAGCAAACATTCAGTTTCCAGATCTTTGCCAGTATTGACAATTATAAACGTAAACAAAAAAGGGAGATTTTTAGTTAAAATGGAATATCATTTTATCATACATTTTATTACTATCTAGTAAAACATATTGCAACATTTTGTTACTGAGAATGATCATCAGGCCCTTTCTGGTCATCATTTAATGCCTCCAGTTCCGCATTAATACCTAACGCTTTTTAGAAATTTGATTATTTAAAAGTGCTATGGACATGACTTCAATTAATTACCCAAATTAACCAATATGGTAGAAATCTAAGGTGGCAGCTCAGGCCACAAGCACCATTTCACGATACTACTACATGATAAAGGGTTTGATGACAGTCGCTTACTTGTTCAAGGAATAGACCTATGTTTTTCCAACTTTGCAGCTACAAAAAGCCCACAGCCAAAGAGTCAGGTTGTCTCACTATACAGAAATAATAATATGGGGGAATATGGAATCATACATATAATATATTAGATATATTTTTTAATATATATGGAATAATTACCATAAAATACCATTTCTAGTAAAATATACATAGAAATTAAAATAAAGTTGATATTTAAATTCCCTTCTAACAATGACTCCAATAATTTTACAGCTGCTAAAACCTTTTCTTCATTGTTAGAATATAGACATGCAATGTTACTGTAGGAATCAGTTAACGTGTCTTTTATATTTCATTTCTTAAGTGCTAAATGGAGTTTCCCAGGCAAACGCTGTCTTTGCTGTCAATATCTGGCTTCAAGTTACATTTGCAGCACAAAGCATTTGAATTGACTGTTACAGTGTAAGATTTCTTGCAGCCTTGTCTTTTATACAGTTGCTATCTTGTGGAAAAGCAAAAGCCATACACCCAGTAAGATGGAAGCCTTCTGGGTAAAATGCTTATGTTCTGTTGAAGATTACAGAATATATATCCACTACTTATGTGACATTATAATACCTTATCTTTCTTCGTATCATTAATAATATTGAACTTAACTATCCCTAATGTAAAAGTAAATGCATTACCATAGAAATATGTGCTTCTTATGAAATTATAGAACAGTTTTTCTAGTTTACTCTATATTTAAATACATTACATTTTTAAAACTAAAATGATACAACACACAAATAGTAGTATAAGAATAAGACAACTTTCCAATAGAAATCTCCTCTCTTCAAACTTCAATCTATAGATGATACATACAGCTAGAAATATGTTGAAAATTCCTTATATAGTCAATGATTTTTTTTAATCAGAATTATTAAACCAAACAATTCAAAATAACATATGTTATACAAATAGATTACCCATTGGATTTTTAATCTTGTACACAGTATATAACAGCTTTGCACACTGGTGGTATGATAGCTAGAGGTTTATTTAAGAAGTGATTATTGCTAATTGAAAACTTTTTTCAAGACCTCACCATGATGACTTGTAATATAGTCGACATTGGCAATTTTTTGATATTATTCACAGTTTTTTGATAATATCCATTTGATATTGAGGCTAAATAGTTTATAACAAATGTCAGTTATTATATAAAGCATAAAGCAATGATTATATGCCTTGAAACTTGAGCATATGGATTAGACAAGTAAAATAATGACAAATTCTTTAACGTTTATGCAAAAGGTGAGATTTCTGAACCTTAATAAAAATAGAACTTGAACTCCTGGGTCCAAGTGATTCTTCTGCTTCAGCCTCCTGAGTAGCTGGGATTACAGGCACCTACCACTATGGCCAGCTAATTTTTGTATTTTTAGTAGAGATGGGGATTCACCATGTTGGCCAGACTGGTCTGGAACTCCTGACTCCAGTGATCCACCTGCCTCAGCCTCCCAAAGTGCTGGGATTACAGATGTGTGTCACTGCACCCAGCCTAAATTATGATTCTTAGAAAATAAATTTTAATATATGTACCATACTGGAAGAAATATAGTAAATGAAAATTAACTTATAAAATTGATAGATGGATTTTATCTAAGAGGAATAAATGTCTATCTAACAGTGTGGCACTAAAGCAAATCATATTAGACTTAAATTATTTAATAAATAAGATGCGTATATTTTAGGTTTCTCATGAAGATACAGCAACCACTTTTCTGAAAACATTTTATTCAATTTGATAAGAAAATTGTGCAGCAAGTTTTAACAGAGTAAGGATAGTAGAAATATTTTAATTCGTAGTTTAGAGAATCACAGAAGTTAAAATTATTTTATGAAGGAAGTATAAATAGCATTTTTTATTTGAACTCAAGAATAAGGAATGCTAGGTATCATCTAAATTTTTATAAAAATAATAAAATATACTGCTTTTACAGTTTTAACTAAGGAAAGAAAAACAGTTATAAAGGGTAAAACAGTTATAGAGACATAGATGGTGACTCAGACTGAAAAATGAGAGATCATCAAAACAGTAAATAAAATAATCTAGCAATAGACTTATAAAGTCACTTTCAGTATGACCATACAGGAAAGAAAAGAAAATATGTTTGTTTTCTTTTTAAACCAAAGAGCAATTTTTATGAAGAAACATGGCAGGTAATACTTGGTCTATGGAAATTTCACCAGGAGCAGAAGAAATGCATGGGTCAGATCAGACCAAGTGTCAATGCTAGTTAGTTCTTATCAAAAAAAAAAAAAAAGTACATGGAGGCATTAAAAATAAAATGAACATTAATCTAAACTCCACATAATGACTACTAGACTAATTTATTCACAAAGGATCACACAGCAGTGAAATTCAGAGATAAAGCAGAATGCCTGCCAGACACCAAGCTGTTATTAGAAGTGGCAGACATGCAGTGTGTGATTAAAGAAGCAGTAATAGTTGAAATAATTTACTGTGAAAATTTCAGTTACCTGCACTTTCTTTCAGTCTGTTAGTAACCGTTTCTAGCAGAACAAAGTCTTAGAATAGGGGACCTGTAAAATTCACTGGTTCTTTACAGACAGCAAACCAAAGATATGAGAGAGGCTCTTGACACAAACAAATGTAACATTTTATAAACTGACATCTCTATGTTGTACATTTTTTCGACTTATGCTTTTGAAATATTTTACATCCATGTCAGTTAAAAGGATTATCATCCTTGGTAAAATATTTTTCCTCTTGTTTCAAAATGTACATAGATATAGTTTCGTATGGTCCATGGAACAGATGTCTACGACCAATAATTTCAACTATCTTGAAAAATAAATAAAAAATGAAATTGACTGAATGCCAAACACAAAGTCTCAAAGTAAATTGCATATTTTAAAAACTCGAGGTTCATTTTTATGACATAAATGTTTATAATTTGAGGTGAAAAAACAATTGTAACTTATAAAACACATTATTTATTGTGATAGTTAATTTCATGTGTTAATTTGGTTGACTAGATAGCTGGCCTTATTTCTGGTTGTATCTGTGAGGATATTTCCAAAAGAGATTTGCATGTGCATTGTACTTAGGAAAGCAGAGAGTTCTCCCAAATGTGGATGAGTGTGATGGTTAATACTGAGTGTCAATTTGATTGGATTGAAAGATGCAAAGAATTGTTCCTGGTTGTGTTTGTGAGGGTGTTGCCCAAGGAGATTAACATTTGAGTCAGTGTACAGGCAGACTCACCTCAATCTGTGTGAGTGCCATCTAATCAGCTGCTAGCTTGGCTGGAATAAAGCAGGTAGAAGAAAATGGAATAGGGAGACTTGCTGAGTCTTCTGGCCTTCATCTTTCACCTGGGCTGGATGCTTCTTGCCTTTGAACAACAGACTCCAAGGTCTTGAGCTTTTCACTCTTGAACTTAACCAGTGATTTGCCAGGGGCTCTTGGGCCTTCGGCCACGGACTGAAGGCTGTACTGTTGGCTTCCCGACTTTTGAGGTTTTGAGACTCGAACTGGCTTCCTTTCTCCTCAGCTTGCGGAAGCCCTATTGTAGGATTTCACCTTTTGATGGTGAGTCAATTCTCCTAATAAACTTCCCTTTATATATACATATATCTTATTAGTTCTGTCCCTTTAGAGAATCCTGACTAATACAATGGGTATCATCCAATTTTCTGAGGGCCTGAACAGAACAAAAGGTGAAGAAAGGTTGAGTTTTATTTCTGTCTGACTATGCTGGTACATCAATTTTTTACTCATTTGTTCAGGAGTGCTCTCCTTCTGCACTCCTGAACAGGTCTGCATACTGAGACTAAAATTTACACCATTGGTTCTCCAACTTTTAAGTCTTCAAATTACACCACTGGGTTTTCTGGGTCTCCAGGTTACAGACAGCAGGTCATGGGAATTCTCAGCATCAAAATTGTGTGAATTAATATCTTTATAATAAATGTCACATGCCTATATCCTATTAATTCTGTTTCCCTGTAAAACTCTGACTAATCTATTTACTAAAGTAACCTTAAATTGTATTAGATATTTAGGTAACTCAAAGTAATATAGAGAACCAAGGCTATTCACTGGGAAAAGGACAGTATTTTCAGCAGATGTGTAAGAAAGCTAGACATAGTCATACAAAAGAGAATGAAGTTGGACCCTTACTTTACACAGCATACAAAATTTAACTGAAAATGGAGCTGAAGCTCTTAAAGATGACAAAAGGGAAAATTTCATAAAAAGTTAAATTTGGTAATCATTTCTAAGCTATAAAACTAAAAGTGAAAGCTAAAAAAGAAAAGAAATTAGATTTTAGCAAAATTTAAACTTTTGTGCATCTAAGAACACTATGGACAGAATGAAAATGTAACCCATGAAATAGGAGAAATACTTGAAATTTATATATTGGATGGGAGATTAATATCCAGAATATATAAAGATCCCCTATAACACAACAAAAATAACAAAATGAATTTTCAAATGAGCAAAAAACTTGATATTTCTCCAAAGAAGATCTACAAATGGTAAATAAACACATACAAAAATGTTCCATATAACTGATCATTGAGGAAATTCAAATCAATTTTATGACGAGATACCAATTCACACTCATTAGTATAGCTGTTATAAACAAGATAAAACAAAACAGACCATATAGGTTGGTGAGGATATAAAGATATTGGAACACTTGCACATGGCTGGTGAAAATGTAGAATGAAACAGCTTCTGTAGAAAATGGTATGGCAGTTTCTTAAAAATTGAAAGAGTTATCATATAATCTGTTTATTTCATATTGGAGTATACAGCCAAGGACTTGAACAGGAATGTCTGTATGTGTATCCATGTTTCATGTATAACAACATTTATAGGAGCATTATTTACAGTAGCTAAAGGTGAAAGTAATGTGAGGGCTCATCAGTGGATAGCTGAATAGACAAAATGTATTATATACATACAATGGAATACTTTTTTAGCGAGGAAAAGGAAGGAAAATTTAACATATATTACAACATGAACGAATCTTGAACCATTATGCTAAGTGAATCATTATGCTAAGTAAGCCAGCCGCAAAAGACCAACTTGTATAACTCAACTTATATGAGTTACCTTGGGTGGTGAAATTTATAGAAGGAACAGCAAAATGTTGGTATCCAGGTGCTTGGAGAGGGAGAAATGAAAGGTAATTTTTTAATGGGTCCAGATTTCAGCATGAGAGGTGCAAATAAGTCCTACAGATGAGTAGTGGTAATGGTGTATAACAATGTGGATGTAGTTATTACCACTAGCTGTAGTCATGAAAAAGATTACAATAATAAATTTTGTTATGTGTATTTTACCACAATAAAAAATTTAAAAAATAAGGTATTGATTATAGAATTGTGTTGATGAACTTATCTTGTGTAAATAAGTAACATTTTTAGAAGAATGCATACAAGGGAAAAATGTTTATTGGATCAAATTATCATATACTAGTAAAATTACGTTGGTATTAATCAGAGCTAGATTCCTTTATTGTAGGGTATAAAGTGAAATGTCCAGGCTGAGAATCAATACCTATGCACACACATAAAACCAAACCAGAAAAAAAAAAAAAAAACCTTCAAAAGTAAATTAAAAAAAGAAAAAGTTAATTACAATTCTATGTTAGAAAAAATATACTTAACAGAAGGCATAAATTAAGAAGTAGAGGGGAAAGGAGCATAAGCAATACGAAAATAAATAATAGGTGGAAATCTTATCAGTAATTATATTAAACATAAATAAACATTCTGATTTTTAGTAGGAGATACTTGAAGAATGGATAAAAATTCTATGATCAATCTATAGACTGTCTACCAGAGACACATTTTAGGTTTTCAGGTACAAATAAGCTGGAAAGAAAAAAAGAACAGGAAAGGATGTACAATGTAAATAAAAATAAGAGCTAAGATTGCTATACTAATATTACACAATATAGCCTTATATAAATGAGCAACTAGAAACAAATAAGTTTACAATAATAAAAGCATTAATCCATTAATAAGACATCAATAATAAAATCTTGCATACATTAAAAGACCCTCAAAATACATGGAAGCAAGAACTAACAGACCAAAGAGAATGAATAGACAAA